GGTGGGTCAGACGGGCAAGGTAGGGCACAAAACTAACATAGCAGCAGGCAAACGGAACTTGGCTAGATTGCTCCCTGAGTGTTGACTGTTCTCCCAAGCGAAGGAGGAACCCAAAAGCTTCAGCTAGCAGCTAGCAAGACGTTGGGTAACTGTTGTTGGGGCTTCAGTTTACGAGTACTTTAGACCTTGGATTCGACTTGTACATCTCGAGCCAACTTGCAAGGGGGAGAATACTTGCCTCGCGCGCTTGAACCCGAACAGCTGAATTCCAGAATGGCTTTAAATTGGGCTTTCAGCATTAACATTAAGCTTAAACTCCTCAATGGTCGTGATCTATTAAGGATTACGGCGCGCTTGAAAGCCTCAATCGTAAACAGCTGAACCATGGACTTCAAACAGCCTTCAATCTGAAGGTTATGCAGGGCGATGGTCGTGCGAAGATGTTGTCGCGGGTCTTCCTCAACGGGGACTGCCCGGGTGATTACTTGGGAACCTTATGCAAGAGTGATGGTACTGGGAATTATATCATTGACCTTTGCCGCGTTGATAAGTATCAATACCAAGGACAGTGCGGACATGCAGAATTATTGACGGCCTCGGATTTGGCATTTCCATGCACTTTTTGAGGCTCCCCTGAGCCTCCGCTGAATAAGGGTCCATGCGGATACTTATATAAGTTCAGCCAGGAGCCTGGTTCCAGATATAAAACTTCTCCCCCAAATTGAACCCTAATGACTAACATTCCCCATGCGAAGCTTTGGTAAATGTATATGCATCCACGACAGATTTGGAATCCGTTCAGGGGAAGGGATGCATACGGCTTTGGCTGTCATGGCTTCACGTTTGTTACATGAGCAGCTTGATGTGTTTGGCATTGTGTGCCTGGCTGAAAGCACCTGTATGAGGTAAGTAAACATATGTAAGCATTGAAGTTACGAGAAGGAACAACTATATCCTCCACATGTACAGTAGAGATAACATCAGGCTTCGCGTACGACAAATTCGCAACCCTTCGAAAGCTGAGCTATGCGGGTGTAAGATCTGCGTGCAAGGATATGCCGCATATGAAAGCTCTGGCAGGAATGGACTTACTGCGCCTGAGGATCTGGCGGGTTGTGCAGGCCGGGGCATGGAAGGGCTCGCAGCTGGAAATATCCTGGTTTTTCTGGAGTCCCATGATGTTTTGGTTCCCATAGGCGGCCTCTTGTCTGAAGCAGTGCATAGATGGACATCAAGGTTGTCCTGTGCTGTACGGTGGCAGATGCTCCTACCAGCAGTCCTCAGAAAGCTTAGTGATGGTGTGGGGGCAATGCACCAGGGTTGGTGGTAACAGGAACCGATTGTCTGTAACAGTGGAGTGTTCCGTAACAATGCACACCTCGTTGTAAAATTGGGTCCGCAAAACTAATTCCTAGGTCCTTCAAGTGGAACTTCATACAAACCTTGCCCCCTATCGTGCTATCCTAGGTCTAGTTCCGGTTCTGGTGCAAGTTCGTGCCTTGCAAACTTGGAATTGAGCATGAGGCGCTCGGGAGCGGATATTTTACATGCGCAAAATACGGGACAACCCTGCAAGAAACTGCCTCATGGCCGGCACCTGTGTAGAAATTCTGCGCGGACTGTATTTCTCTCATGTAGACCCTGGCTAGGACAACTGCTCCCAAGGCGCATGCCCGTCATGGCAGCTAGGAATCAAGGAGTGCTTTTTATGGGAGCACTCTGGGGATATCAAAGTCATCTGAGCAGGCATCAACTGTAACGATCCAACTCCTGCAATGCAGGTAGTGAGCTGCCCTGAAGTTTCACGAATTAAGGCTCTGCCTGTAGGACATTCAGCAGCATCTGCTTGCAGCAAAAAGGTCAGTGTCGCAGCACCTGTGGATGAAAGCAAGCGGCTTCAGCTAGCTCCGGGTGCGGCCAGGTACCTTTTTGACAGTCATGAGGTGGAGAGCTTGTAAAGCAAATTCTGAAGGCCTGCTCATGGCTTGTCCGTTTGTAGTGTTGATATCCCCGCCAAGATGTGGTCTCTAGCGCATGAGTGTATGCATATTTATATATGATAAGTACAATGGTGTGCATAGATAGTAGTACATGTGAGCTCATGTTTTAGCCGATTCAAAACAAGAGCCGACGCATATTGAGACACTCCGTGAAGGTTCTTCTGTCATGGATTCATGGCAGCCATGTGGATCTGCCTCGGACATCAATCGGCTCGAGCACTGCGGCGCTAAAAGCACAAGAAACATGACGGCCTGGGTAGGACTACAGTTTATGGCAATGTTGGCGCAATGTAATAGAATAAGCAACACAAACCAAACCCAGGGCCTGCTCCAAACACGCAATCTAAATTGCCCCGTCTACATCTTCCCCAAGCACATAACCTCTGGAAGGGTTAGCTGATCATCCCCCCTACCTCTCGTATCACCGTCTGCTGGCATGGGTATGGAGAAGCCCAGCACTTTGCCGTCCTTCCCCCTGACTTATGCTAGCTCACCGTGGTCTTGGAGCCGCTTGATTGGTTATTTAAACAAGGGTTCTACAGAAAGGAGCAAGAATCTACCGTTTGGCCCGTCTTCTCATTACAGGCGGGAGCCAAACTCACTTGGGTGGGGCCTACTTGCAACTAAGAAGTCGCCATGTTTGATCCTTCAATAGCGGTACTGCAGCATGCAGTAGAATACATAAGATGACTACAGGTTTTTCAGTCTTAGGAAAACTAGGGCTATAGGATTGAGCGATGCGTAGATTCCCTCTGGACTGCCAAGATAGTATCAATGTTTGTTAAATAAACGCCTCCTGCTGTTGATTCGATGGTGATGCAGGGTATACTTCGTACCTCTGCACCTTGCACATTCCACGCATGTTGAGGAGGAGGAATAGGAGGAGGTGGTGGTGGTGGTGGCGGCGGTTGTGGTGGTATGGAGAGTTTGCAGAGGATTCCATAAGGCTAGATTGGGAGTCATGCTCTCTTAACAAGGATCAGGAGGAAGGTCTACGTTCAGGTGTTTTGGAGACCAAGGCTTGAGAGCAAAGATATGGGAAGGCGCCTCGCCACCATCACTACCGTAGAGACAGACAGACAAGCAAGGAGAGAGAGAGAGAGAGAGAGAGAGCGAGAATGCTCAATGCATGCATTTTCAACGAAGTTAGGAGCCCGAGACATACCCGTTACAAAAAAAATGGTGCATGATACCGATACCAGTCAGATAATTACAATCAATTCAGTGCGGTACAGGTGAGGACCTCTTTTACAGCGGGCAAGCAGGCGATGAATTGCCAACTGCGGACAACTGACTTGGGGAAGCCGACCTGCTAATCCCAAGAAGGAAGTTGAATGCAGGCTTGTCAGGGAGTGTACTGTGCTGGGAGAATCCTGAGGAAGAGCTGGCACTGAAGGGGAACAAACGAATGAAAGCTGGACAGCAAACTGATACCTGGAGACTGATGGAATGACAGGGGCTATACCCAGGTCAGTGATATCACGTGTTGGCCTTGGAGCAGACCCTAGAGCAGGTTTCAGAAGGGAATGTAAGTGATGACGCCCTGTGGCTGAGTGTTCTACTTTTTTTGTATGTGGGGGACCCAAAAAGTGGCACAGGTAGCTGCAGCGAGTTTTTCAATGAGTCTAGGGTCCGAGCCCAATAGTTGCCAGGGATTTCTCCAAATCTTGCAAATCGCAGTGATGGAAGGGCAGTTCTGGGAGAAGGGGTAGAAAGAAGATGGGGCTTGGGGAACGACCATGTCTGTCTTCAGCGAGTCTTCAGCGCTTGGGAGCATCTTGCGTTTCAATTCTGGACCCCGCCTGCTCGGGGCAGTGCGCCGGTCCCGCTCATGGGAGGGGGGCATTGCGGTAAAGAAAGAAAGAAAAAGACAATGCTTCTGGCAAAGCTTCATATAGGATCCGAGATATATTTTCAGGACCGTGCAATATAAGGTTTAGGGGGCAAACGGTAGGCATGCGATCGCTTTCGAGGTCAAGGCCACGTTCTACCTGCAAGGCGTCATAAACTTCTGACAAAAGTTGATGTCGCTTTTGGGAAGGCGTTGCTTCCTGCACTGTTTGGGTCGGAGGCTTTGACAGCGGGTGCTTCTTTGTCGGGGCCCTTTAGTTTGGACCATGCCAAAGCTTCGCCGTAAAATTTCGAGCTGCGCCAGCCCTGAAGCTATAAGGTTTTGGATAGAGAGGTCAGATATTGGATGTAAGTTTTGGGTTGCAAGGTTTGGAATCAAGATCTCACAGCGTTCTAGAACAAAAGCTTGTGTTTGCTCAGTGGTGCGAATGTAGCCATGAGATGCATGCCCAAACCATGCAAACATCCGTGCTCCTTGAGCATCCATACCCGAGCCATTAAAACATTCCGAAAGCCTATGGCGACCCGAGCATCCATGCCCAACCCATGGTGATGCTCCTGTTCCAAGAGCGTACGGAGACCTGAGTGTTACTCAGACCGCTGAGGACCCCTTTCTGTTCAACCCGCCACAAAACAGGCCAACACAAAAGCAATCCTATCCCCAAGAACCCCAGCAATCCAGTTCGGACAGGGCGCTACCAAAAAACATCCTTCCCACATTTCGTTTTCTGCTGAGAACCTGCCAGTCTGAAGTCCTGCTAAAATCGCCATAAGACGCCCAAAGCAAGATAATCCCATTTCGCAAAAGGCCGACAAGTTTCGGAGATGGTGACATCTTCGGAAGGCGTCCGAAGCTAAACCTTTCTAAAACAAACGGTGGTTTTGGTCAAATAAGCAAGAAAGTTTGACAAACGCGTCACGGCCGAAACCGTGCCACTTGGCCAGTTTTGGCCCGTCTTTCCACGGATGCCAAGGTGCGATGCCCTCGCAACAAATCATAAATTTTGCATTCCTTATAGAAATCTCTTGCCCGAAGTTCTTGAGATGTGGTGTTGGTCAGTTTAACACAAGATCCTAACAGGGATTCCTGTTAGAAGCCCATTCCCAACACCTGAGCGAGGAGCAATGACTCAGACCTTGCTGCCTGAGGTTCGCATCTGTGGAGAATCTTCAGAAGCGACCGGGATACGAGCCATCTATCCTGGCCCCTCAGTCGCACATGAGCCATTCTGCAGCGCATGCTGTAGGTCATATGCCTTAAAGTCTAGAGGACTTACGGAGAAGGCCAAGAAGCTAGAGTAGAGCTTAACTTTATCATCGAGGTTCATGGAAAACCAGCGCGACCCAGGTCCATCAACCTGTATTTTGCCTCGAAACCTCAACCCGATGCTTGTAGGTTCATAGCCGGTTGCAAGTAGGGTCTCAAGTACGCGGGATTTAGGGTATAAGTGTAGGTCCCCGACTTAGATCCCCACTTATCTAATTCGCCCTGCGCCTCCAAGCAGTCCCCTCACTGCAGGTATTTGCCAGCAGTTGAGGAGTACAAGGAGCGAGAGCTCGCCCACTTGGGGCAGGCCAGATTTTGAGTTACGTTTGGCGGGCCTGGGGTTGAGGGATTAAGGTTGTGGATTCAGAGTCTATGGTTTGGAGTTTGTCAATTTCAGGTTAGGGTTGGGTTTCAGAAAGGGTTTTGAGATTCGTGGGCCAGTGCCTGCACCTAGGCTATTGACATACCTGGGCTATGCCTGGCGTGCTGTTGCCTACATACCCGATACAAGCCTGACATACCGTGGCGACGTTCCCATTTATTGAAAGCAAAAAGCCTACTTAAGAGAGACAACCACCAGTTCTATACCTCAAGCCCTACTCCCCGCCCTGAGCCATACATCAGCTTTACTATTCTACGACCAATGCAGCCCAAAGCTTGCCCACAGAATTGCCCCAAGCAGGGCGTTACACCGTCAGACCCTGAACTCCCAGCCTTAATTCGTCGACCTAACCCTCGAACTGAACTGTAAACCCTGAACCCTCGAGCCCAGGCCACATACCTGGACTATGCTGGCGCTGCTCTGTACAGCCGTGCGCAGCTGTTGTCCGCTCAGGAGACCTGGTGCAGCTTAACAGCTCTGGGGATGGGCGTAGTTTCGAGTTTGGATCTTTCGGGCTTCGGGTTCATAGTCCAGGGCTCGGGGATTGGGATTGGGACTTCAAGGCCCAGTTCCGGGCCTAAAAGGCGGTTGTGTACAGATGAAAGGAAGGCTGTGGACAGAAGCTTTGGGAATTGCAAAATGGGGTTCCATACGATGTCTTGTAAGGCATCCAAGTCCAAGTTTGACAGCAGAACGCAAGAGCTTCATCATCCGACCTGCTCCATCGTTCGCGTCTCTGCGCCCTAAGCCCCAAACTGTCTGACCCTTCGGTCTGGGAGCTTGTGGCGCTGGAGTTGGATGAAGCCTTGAAGCGAAATCTCCGCCTAGGTCCTTCCTTGTAGCATGCTTGACCTGCGGCCTAGCCATCAAAAGCCGGCAGGAAGCCCAATCCAGAATTTCCAATTGAAGGCTGCAGCATGGATTGATTGCTTGCGTATGCCTGCATGAACAGGCACCCCTTGTTGACCACCTTAGTTCGAGCGGATAGTTGCAGGGTGTAGGTCCGATAGCATGACCTAGCCCTGATGCTCAGAATCCTATACGAAAACTTGAAGTCTAAACCGCCATGTGGCCCTGAACCAGTATACCCTGGCATGCCAACCTGAAGAAGAGCAAAACACATGTCTGGATATCGTGTGCAATACTTCAAATATCTTCCCTTCCATAGCATTCTACCCAATTTCAACCCCAACTCTGTCAACCCAGAGGAACTCCTGCTGAACAATTGCCTGGGCAACCCCCACAGCAGCCCCGATACGGCGCAGTGTGTAGAGCGCAGCCGCGACATGGTCTTGCCCTTGGGATGCAGAAATCTAGAAGCCTGAATGATGAGAAGCTTATTGCAATTTGTACAAGTACGCGATGTACTGCAAAACTTTGTTTTAGCGACTGCAGCAGGGCACTTATAGTTTATGTGGGGTTCAACAACCGTTTCTTCTTTAGCTACACAGCATTATTGCCCTTCAAGCTGGGATACGTACACCCTGAATTGGACATGTAAGTTCCAAAGAAGGAGCCGTTTTGTAAGGCGGACACCCCTTCAGCCACAAAAGCAGCGTGTGCATCTGTTCGTGTTTTGGCGTGTGCGTCCACAAGCCGGGTATTGCCTACTTCGAGGGACTCAAGCTTGGCCTGTGTTTCACGAATGCGCCAATGGAACCAAAGGCCTCCCCCCCACGAAGTACTACCCTGGGGTTCAAAGAATTTGGGGATGATTTACTGGTTTAGCTCTGAACCGTCTTCAAGCTAAGCAGAAGATGTGAAAGTTTTCTTTGCCCTGACAAATTGTTTACTTACGTCCTTTGCATATTTCCTGTTCAGCCGATACGCATTCCCCGAAAGTCGCAGTGCATGTGTGCCTCAGGCAAATGTTCAAGGTCAGCCGGGCAACCCATTCGGTGGTCTTTACGTCGGGGGCCACGCAGGGCCTGCAGTTGAGACTTGCTCCCTGTTTGGTTTACCTTGTGGCTTCAGCATTTTGGCTTGACGTGGCTGCAGTCATCCTCGTGGCAGCCTATGGAAGCCAGAATCCAAAATCCCACCTAAAGCCCCACCCCTCGACTCAGGATAGGGGAACATTTCCCGTGGGCTCAGAGCAGCTTGTTCCTCTACGCGGATGAAAGCCACACCAGCAGCCGACCTGCACTAGCTTCAGCCCAAAGGGCGCAAATAATGCCTAAGCTGAGAGACTGAGAGACCTACTCAGGATCTTTGATTCTACCTACCTGCATCCCACCTGTTGAGCCCTCTTCAGTTTGTCCGTGCGGGGGATGATCAGGTCATTGCTTCAATCTTGGTTTACTTGTGTCTCACAGGGTGAAAGACATATTCAGAATGCATGGAGAAATTTTACTGCTCGGCTGTGGCTATGAAGGGCAATCCCAATGTATCGCCAACAAGGGAGTCCCTTGCCAACAAGCACCAGAAACTAGTGCACGCTCAGTATGAGGACTCCTTTGCAGCAAGTCCAGGGACTCCTTGTAGCTGCATGCAGCCTGCAAACCCCGTAGGCATTTACATGTAGATGGAACCCCCACCTTGTGGATGCAGGGAGTATGTTTCGGGTTTCCCGCTTTTCCTGTTCCATGGCATGTGCCCATGTAAGAGAGATTATGGCAATGTGCCAAGCGTATGATGATCCCGGCCCACACAAACCTCGAACAGCCTCTGGCAGGTGTCGTTGGTCTCAGGCAGTATGCTAAGCGAGCGAACTGCGCCTACGGCACCTTTTCGCTGGAAGACCTTTCCATGCTTACCGCCGGAGATCTCGCAGCAGCCGGTTGAACATCAGTGACATAACAAGGGCTCTACTGTTTTGGTGGTATGTCAGGAGGCCCTCATGTCGATGAGTATCTGTGGGCAAGGCTCAAAACACCGGGTAAGACCTTGCAACAGTCAGTGGAATCATTGATTCTTTGTCATCAGGTGTTGAAGACATCTTAGTAATCTAGGGCGACTCTAAGTATTGTATAACTGTAGAACCTTTAAATAATTCCCACACTTCCCATCCATGTCACCTCCAACTACCCACTTTCCTGGGGAGCCCTCAGTAGTCTGGCTCTGACCATGCCCAGGCAGCACGATTTGCAGACTCTTTGCCGCAAGCTGCCGGAGCCCACTGCAACCTCATCGCTTTTCCTGGTGGGAGTTTGTCGAAAAGATCCCCTGCATTCCATTAGGGACAGCCCTAGAATGGCATTTACAATCCCAGAGATGGTGGAGTATCTGAATACGATGGCCCCCCGATCTACGTCTAAACCGTCACTGACTCTCAAGGTTGGGGTCCGCAGCTCTTGAGAATTATGCAACCTTTGCTTGCACCAATCCTAAGAAAGACCCTGGTCGCAACTGGGTCGTTATTCCTGCATGTCTCCTGAGCTCCGGAAGCAAAGAATACCTTTATTTTGAATTTTGGCAGCATAGCGAATCATCTCGAAATAGAAGACCTAAGTCGCAAGCCGGCGTCCTTCATGCTAAGTACTAAGCCCTGAAGTCCGTTAGGGGCAGTCACCTTTTGTCGGCGTTTTTTCATGATTTCTCCAGGTGAGTCCAACTTCAGTGGGGCCCGCAGCAATCTATCTTGCATACAGGAGCACGGTTTTAGGGATGCATTGAAATTACAAAGAGCTTATAGGGTTCCCTCCAGCGTCTTTATAGTTTGTCTTGCTTGTAGAAGCAGCAAAAGCTGATGGTATCGGGACGTAGCATGCTTTCAAGGGCGCCATGTAGGGGTGTTCCGCTTTGGCGTGGGCAGCATATGATAGAGACCAGTACTCGGTAAATATTCCGTCTGGGGGGTGTGCATCTAGACTGCCCTGCTGAGGAGCTTAAGAGTTCTGCTCTCAAGTGGAAGGTGCTGCTGGATGCCGCCAAGCTCGCATGTTCCCCAGGGGAACTGGACCTCAGCATCTGCCCTGCAGACTTCACAGTGGTCTCCTTCTACAAGATTTTCGGGTACCCAACTGGCCTTGGAGCGCTGCTTGTCAGGCATGACGCTGCCCCTCTGATCATGCCGCAGGCAGACCTTGCTGGAGGTCCACGGGGAGCTGGCGGTCCGCTCTACTTTGCTGGTGGCACCGTCTCCTCCATTTCTGCTAGCTCTGGCTTTGCCATCCCACGACCCCAGCTGAGTGAATGGTTGGAGCGTGGCACTCCTAACTTCCTGGGAATTGCAGTGCTCCCCTCACAGCTCGACGCAGTCAGGGCGCTTGGCCCTGACCAGGCTCGGTGCCGACATGCCTTGGCAGTCTGCCACGAGGCATTCCTCCGAATTTCGTGCCTGAAGCACAGCAACGGGCTTCAGGTTTGCACAGTGTTCGGCCGCCACAAGGAGGAGAATTGGCACGAAGCTCAAGGGCCAACATTGGCGCTGAGCCTCCATTATGCTGACGGCTCCCCAATCCCTTATGGCATAGTCGGGGAGAGGGCAGCTGCAAAGCAGATTGTGATCCGCACCGGCTGCCACTGCAATGCAGGAGGATGTCAGAAATATTTGAAGTTGGAGGACTCTGACATCCGACACTTCTTTGCTTCAGGTAAAGTTTGTGGTGATGACAGGGGGCTTGTGGATGGCAGGCCCACAGGGGTTGTTCGTGTGTCTTTTGGTCTCTACTCGACCTTGGCTGACGTCTCCTGCTGTTTGGATCTTCTGTCCGAGTTTGTGGATGCCCGACCACCTCACTGCCCAGAAGCTGTCTGCAAGCTGCCGGACTCGGAAATGCAAGGCTTGACCCAGCCCATCCATCCACAACCTCAACCAGTGGTAGTGGGAACCGTCACCGCTCTCAAGGTTTATCCTGTGAAGGGCTGTGGCCCCTTGCGCGTACGGCGCTGGCCGCTGGACGGCAATGGCAACCTCTTTCTGGACCGGCGATGGTGCATCTTGGCTGCGTTTGGGATTACTGGTAACCATGAGTGGCTTGGGTTCGCATATGGTTTTGTCGTACCACCAGGGCACAAAACTGGGACCCAGGCATAATGCTTGAAAGTCGGAGCGTCGCTGGCCGTGCGCGTGCAGTCAGCGCAAAGCAGGCGCCGCGTTTGACAACTGTCAAGCTGTCCTTGCGGAGCGGGGAGCAGGGCCAGTTCATTCTGGTTCTGTCCACTAAGTATCATGCCCAGATGCTGGAGCTCCCGCTGAGCAAGCACGACTCCAATTTCCTGCGTTCAGCAGGAGTCGAACCATGCCGAAGCATGATCCGCACCAGCCCCAACACAGACCCGGAAGTGTCCCAAGCAAACTTCTCAAACACGCCAGCTGCAAGTTCATCAGCCTGGTTTCAGCAGGTGCTCGGCATCGAAAGCCTGCAGCTTGCAACCGCCGCGTCAGCGGAAAGCTCTGAGGGAGGCACAGGTGAGGCACCTGCACCTGCAGAGAAGACAGACTTTGCAAACGCGCCGAAGACGCTGCTGCTGGTGTCTACTGCTTCCCTCAGGGAATTCGGGCGTGTCTGTGGGTTGGCAGTGCCTGCAGACCGCTTCCGTGCAAACATGGAGGTGGATATGGAGCACGCCTACGAGGAGGCGTCCTGGCCGGTGGGTTTGCCCCTGCAGCTCGGCGCCGCGACCTTTGAAGCAGCCGGCCGCTGTGTGCGCTGCCAGGCTGTGGACATAGATCCTGAAGATGCGACTTCGCAGGGCCCCTCCCTCCTAGCTGCTTTAGCTACAGCGCAGCCCGGGTCCGAGGCAAAAGGCCCGACCTTTGGTGTGCTGTTGCGTCAGAGGGAGACCAGCCAAAGCACCCCCTTGCTGGAGGTGGGCATGCCCCTAACAAGGCCTGGCTAAGGCCAGAGCCATCCTTCGGCTGATGCTGGGGAAGCCCTTCAGCTGAACAAGACAGCAACAATCATCCAGCTACGCTTAGCTCTACTCGCAAAGGACTTTTTGCTGGCACCAACGGCACATCCTCCACTCGGCCAGGGGGGTCCAACTGTTTAAACGTGCACAAAAACTTGTGCAAGATCCAGTTTCGCAGGCGAGCTTGCAAAATGAAAAAGTGGGTCCATAGACGGTGTTCATTCAGGGCTCATTTTTTCATCTGAGGGGTCTTCGTCTCTACTTGACAAGCAACCCCTGAGGGCTGCCTTCCCCATAGTGGGGAATGGCTTACCCAAGCTTGAACTGGTATCCAAACACGACAGTATGTGGCTTTAGCTTTGAGCAGTAGGGCTTGGCGCCTACGAGAGAGCATTATTGCTTTCGGTTGCTTTGGGCCAGGGTGCAGGGTCTCACGTCCACTTGCGCACATGCCAGCCTTCCGACTCACAGCTTGGATCAAGCCAGGCTGAGCCAATTTCCAGTCTTAGATAAGCGGTTTGGGACAGTAATGCCTAAGCCTAAATCCCTGAAACCTCAACCTTTTGTTGCCGTGAAGCATGCCGCATACACGTAAGCAATTTGGACTTCTCTTCGAGTTCTCGGAAGAGTTCAGAATTGTCAAGTACCATCGAACATTCATAGCTGTCGCAGTTTATGCAATGCTTACCCAAGTTGCATGACTGCTGCACAGTCCTTATGATAATGTTATGTATTCCTCCGTTGCAAAACGCCGAGTCCTACAAGACCTTGGAGCTAAGCCGGACAGACGGCGAGATATCACCTCTTGCAATGTTCGATTTAGTGTGTAGAGCGGCTCAAGCGTCCTAAATTGGCATTCGAATTTCAGATAGGGTTCGCAATGCAAAACGAGCACAGCTAGTTCGTCCGGCGTGTCCCTTGCGGCAAGTGCTTGCAGTGCTTGCAGCAGTCAGCCCAGGCCGAACTTGGCTACATGACTGCCGTAAGATGAGTCAAACATTACAACAATCTCACGAGTTTCCGGTATGATGCCTTTTGATGTGGCCCAGACTCTCATATGGCGCAACACCCCACTCTGATGATCCAGGCTTCAGTGCCACAGGCCGCCCCACAGCAGAAAAATGGCTAAATGAGCTACGTGTATTCCAGGCGTCCATGTTACTAAAGTATCTCAGGGGCTCTAGCAGATCTGCAGGTGCTGGACGGTTCTCATGCAGCTTCCTTGCGGTAACTGCGCTGTCACTAAAGCACTCTTTCAACTTGGGTGCATGAAGAAAGGGTGGTGCCTTTGTGCTACCTATGGAATGCGTGTCTTCAAGGAGTTCTCTGGATCAGCTCATGTGTGGCTGTACCGCATTAGTGCCTGAGCAAAAAGCTAAGCTTGCCAACACCAACTCCTTAGCCACCCAACAGGGATGTGTCTATCTTCAACATTTGCCCAGTGTCCGCGGGGTACTCCCGCATAGAATAAGACATATGCTCCGCCTCAGGCTGCCGCCAGATGACGGCCCAGATGCCTCCGCAGCTGGAGGCGGTACGCGAGGAGCCAAAGGTTTTAGGCCCTAGGAGGGTTTAGGGTGTAGGGTTTGTTGATTCTAGTGTCTGTAGTTGGAGGGTTGAGGGCGCGTGGGAATCTGGCAGTCTTCGTTACAGCCCATTGTAGTCAGGCTGATTCTTGGAATCATCCGAGTACATGCTAAATTGCAAAGCCTCCTTTCCAAGCCATGCCTTTGCTCTGCCATCATCATCCCCAAAGGTGATCATGTCTCAGTCGTGCACATAAGCAAAAGGCAATCTTGGGGATGTTTCATCGTAGCGAATGTATATGTCTGATTCAGCGGCCGTATCTGTGCTACACAATGCTATCCTGACTAGATCACAAGCTGAAGAGCATTACAATCTAGGGAATCATCGGGATTCGGATTAAAGGCAGAGGTTGACCAGCTTACTGCAAAACCAACAGCACTCTTATCCGGCTTCAAGGAGCTGAGCTCCTGGGTGAGATATGGGCCCAGGGCTCTGTGCCTTCTGGAGGAGCTGAGCTCTCTGGAGGTGACGCTGTGAAAATTACTTCTGCAGAGGGAAGCTTGTTATCTCCCTATAGTCCCTACAAATCCCCGGAATCTCTTGAAACCACCCAATGAAGAACCACCACGTTGCATAAGGGATTTGGCTCCAGGGTGACCGGTTGGGGTTCGGCATCGGAGGTAGAACCCTTCGGATTCTGTGTGCTTTATATGAGAGGGCCTTACTCAAAGGGTTCAATTTCAAGATCCTTGGCTGCTTGGGGGTAGGATGTCTTTTAAGGATCAGGTCTCAGAATCTTTCCGGGTTGATTGAGTCCAGGAGTCCTCGCATCGGCAGTGGGGCTTGCGCGTGAAATCAAGATTGATGGCACTCTGCTTCTAGCATTGCCGCTAGACGTCCTGGTTACGGATTCACGCGCAACCCTGCCCCCTGACATCAACTGTCCCCCCCTCGTGAAACATGGTAAACTGCATGTGTGCGAACTGCTTGAGCCCCAAGCCTTGAAGTCCTGTGCCAAGCTCTTGGCCGATGAATAGGGTGTACAGCATGCACAGCCTCCAAGACTGTAACTTCCGCGACAGAACTTTCCTAGGAATGGCCGTTGATCCCTACCATCACAATCCTTGACGCCTGGACGCTAACCCCCCCAACCTGATTTAAGCTTTCGATCGCAAAGCCTTAGCGGCTAAGCCCTCAGCCGCAGACCTTTTAGCTCTACGTCTTGAATTCCTCGACCCTGAGCCCTACACTTCATCTCATGCCCGAGATCTCTGTGGACCTGCTCCGGGAAACGCAGCTTGGTCGACTGGTGAAGCGATACTTCCAGCATGATGAGGCCATGATTTGCGTTTAGGGTAGAGCTTTCAGGAAGGAATTTGGAATGGGCTTAGACTTGAGGACATTTGGTACCACCCTAGAGACCCGCCTCCTGGCTTAAGGTTTCGTTTGAGGTCAGGCTTCCACTGGTTTAGGAGTGGCTTTCTGGCAAACGAGGCTTCGGGAAAGCAGCTGCATTGATCAAGCTTGCAAATTCATTCCTTGATTCCTTCCACTTTCTTGGTTTGCAGAAGCTCTGGGACTTTGCATCTGGGGGAGTAAGGATTTCATCATATGGGGGAGGGCTTCTCGGCATTTGTTGATGATCATCAGGTTTTGCTGTTCTGGAATTCAAAGTTTACTGCGTCGTAGCGCCCCAAGCGACACACAGTCAATCAGAAGCGTTCAAATGAGCAGAGACTCCTGATTCATGACATATCTCCAGTAAAAAAACATGTTTCAAGGAGGCCGGAATTGCAGAAAAAACATGCTTCAAGGAGGCCCTAATTACAGGAAATACCTAGACGAAGTCACTTTTCAGGAAAATCCTTCTTAGTAGGTCGAGGTCCAAGATATTGCCTTTTTTTGCTTGTTCGTTTTGATGGGGTTCGCACACTTAATTCACATCCAATTCGTTTCTGCAGCCATCACAGCGCCTCTGGAGCTTCCAGCACACTAGTACTCAACAACGTTTGGCCCGGGATTATTTATGATCAACAAGATATATTATCATGGAGCCAGTGTCTCCCAACCACCACCGCCACCAACACCGCCACCGCCACCGCCGCCGCCGCCGCCGCCACCCCCGCCACCGCCGCCACCG